GTACCTAAAAATCAGGCTAAAAGTTGATAAATGGGAGATTTCCAAAATTTCAATTTTGCCGTTCAAGTTAGCCGGACCACCTATCCCTCCTCTGAGATGAACTTAGGCAAGACGTAGGTATATGTTGTGCACACGGATTGCAAGTATGGAGCCCCAGTTATCACGCTTCCCAGTTGAAGCCCCGACACCCAGCAATTTTCGCCGTCTATAGCGTACACCATTGCCGCCTATTTCTCCAGATTATCGCCCTCGAACCCCCCTTGGTGAGGTACATTCGGTAGCACATGGCCGCCTACTTCAAAGCCCCTTACTCAAAATTATATTGGGAACTCCGAGTGTGTCGTAGCATCGTCTCCTGCGCACTCATGAAGTAGGTTCAGGAAGTGTCTCCGTAAATGAGCGAATTTCTAACCAAAGATAGACTTGTCGACTCGCGTTGTAACGAGTAGAACGAATGGACGAGCTTGAACAGTCTAATCAAAAGACAACAGACATTGAACCATTGGCATTGATATAGTATATTCCTTTCTCTGTACAGTTCATACAAAACTACCATTATATTTCTACATATTTCATTACATATCACGAATGCAATTCATAAAATTTATATTAACTAGGTGCGGCGTAGGGTGATTGCGAGTCTTATTTATGATGCATTTGAAGCGAAACTGTTTTTCTTCTTATGGGAAAAACAGAACGCGACGAACATAAGCCGAAGGGGTGTATATTGTCTACACGTGGAACAAACTAAGTTTTGATTCAAGCGAGTAAAGAAATGGGGCAATGTGAAAATGCATTGTCATACAGGAACAAAAAATGTACAATTGGGGGAATTCGTAACCGTACTCAAATTTCGCTATTCGTTCATAGGAGTCCGAGACGTATGAAATCCGATGAATTCCACACAACCGTTCCCCTGTAAACAAAGAAAGCAGACGAGTTTTGATTCAATCTCATGTGAAGGTAGTCTCACTACAGAATATTCTTTCTCGATCTTTGACAGAGGTTGACTAATCCTCCATACCAAACGTTCAATGACGTTGCTTTTGTCATAACCCCATCTAAAGAATGTACAGTATACAGACTTGCATCAATAGAGACTAGCTGTTTTAAACATAACATAAAACATAATACAGAATGTCACATTTTTTTGCCTATATACATATTCTTGCTAAATGTTAGAGATGTGTATTTTCGGCTGACAGCATTATTTGCTGTTACGTAGGAAATCTGTTGCATTATTTGGAAATCTGTTTTGAACCATAATAGTTGTTATTTTTGGCAGACCTATATTGGGAAATTGCCAGCTAAGCATAATTGAGAAAACGCCGAAATTTTGTCTGTTAGCTGCAGCCTGGATAGGGATGTGCCGGGTACTGTTTTGGCGGATACCGGATGAGACCAGATAGCAGTATACCCAGAGCAGTCTACTGGATAATAACCGGATACCGATGGTGGTACTCGGGCACTACGTCACCCATCCTTTGTCATAAGATATTCCATTGTCGGTTTAGTATATGGCACAAAGATCGTCAGACAATTTACAACAGAGAGCAGTTTGCATCACAAAAACCTGTAATTTCGTTTTAATGTCTCAGATGTCCGGTAGACTATAGTTGTTTGGGTTTCTCAATATCTTAACGCAAAACAGACGGTTTTGTTGTTATGATAAAGGGTATGATAAAGGGATAATCTGGTAAGTATCCAGCAAATTTTTACTGGACAGCAGATTGTGCCGGATGCTGTCTATATTTCCCGGCACATCCCTAACCTGGAGATAATAC